TTGATATTTGCGCGGATGTGTTGTACCGTGTTGACGAAGTTGACACTCCGTGGCTACCTGAATGTGCTTTTCGACGTTTGATGTTGTTAGTCACAACTGGCGTCGAGTTTTCGTTCAATGACGTGATGTATAAGCAGATAGATGGAGTAGCCATGGGCTCTCCGTTGGGTCCCGTGTTAGCTAATGTCTTTGTCGGTTACTGTGAGTGCAAGATTGATGCGTCTCTATGGCCGAGTCTCTATTTCCGTTTCGTTGATGACTCTTTCACATACTTTGATTCCATAGAAGACAGCGAGGTCTTTCTTGGTGCTCTCAACAACCTTCACCCTTCCCTCCGCTTCACATGTGAGCACGAGCAGTCAAGCAAGTTATCCTTCCTCGACGTACTTGTTGAGAAAACCGAATTTGGTAGCGTAACATCGGTGTATCGTAAACCGACATTCACCGGACAATACATTTCCTATGACTCGTACTGTTCATCTAATTATAAAGTCAACTTAGTAAAGAATCTCGTGGATCGCGCCAAACGGATCTGTTCGCCTTGTAAACTCAGTGGTGAGCTCGAATTTCTCCGTTCAGTTTTCACCAAAAACGGATACCCAGGCGACATGTTGGCAGAACTGTTGTCTACAGCCCCCACGCCGAAACATGAATTGATAGGGCCTGCTCGTTGTCCCGTCTTTTTGTGCTTACCATGGAAGGGCAAGAAGTCTGACAATGTGAGTCGTGAAGTTCGTGCGATCATCAAACAAACCTACTATGCGGTACACTTCATACCCGTCTACACAACGATGCGTTCGTTCACGGTGTTGAAGGACGTCCTACCAACCCATCATTTAAGTCATGTAATCTACAACTTTGAATGCCGGAATTGTGCTAGCCGGTATGTTGGTAGGACTGTTCAGCACCTGAGCGAACGCATCAAGCAACACACTCCTTTACACATTATCCCACGTAGCGCACAACTGGAGCGTCCCACGCGGGGAAGACCCCGTAAACAACCACTACCTCCGCCAACACAGGACCTAGCGTCCCACTCGGCAAGTCCACCATTGGCTCCCGTGGCCATGACCAAGTCACTCCCTCCACCAGCGGAGGTGGATGTGGCTTCGGCGACGCCACGTGTGTTGCATGCAGACACGTTTGCATCAGCATCGCTTGCTGCATCACCGGCAGAGACGACAAAAATACCTACCTCAATATCAACGAGACCCAGAAGAACAACTGCTAATTACACCATGACCTATTTCAGTACGGAAGTACCGAGCCAACGTAATACACAACAGGAACGTGAGACGAGGGATGGGAGGAGACGGGACCTGATTGCTCCGAGGCAGGACGTCGTTGAGGAGGATTCGGCCAGTGAGTCCAGTGATTCCGGTGAGTGTGAGAGCGAGAATGATTGTGTGAGTAAGAGTGGGTGCGAGCGTGTGTTTTCTAGTAGGAAGTCATCAGTGTATAAGCATCTTGCATCTCGTCCTGATTGTTGCAAGGTGTATTCTGATTCTTCTTTTTCTGTTTTGTGCCGTGCTCGTCATGGTTATAAGTTGCAGTTGAGTGTGTTAGAAGCTGTTTGTCAACGTATTCATAAGCCTGATCTGTGTGTCCAGAAGGACAGCATTATTCGTTTGAAATTGTTTTAGGGGCAGCTTGTTCTGTCGGTTTGGCTCTGGTTGGCCATGGTGTCATATCTTGTGTCACAGTATACTAGTAGTCCTTACAAGTTCGTTAATTGCTTTCGCAGTTTTTCCTGTTATTACCTTAGTGCTAGGATTATCATTTTCATAGGTGTTGTTTCTTCTCACTCCATTTCTCTTTATTAGTATCTTTCTGGATTGTTTTTCATTAGTACAACGTAGCTTCCTGAGGAGTGTTGTGCGAAAACTAGTTCGAAGTACAAATTTTTTGTTCATCATTTTTTTCCATATCACATTTTTTCTTTCTTCCACGTTCTTCACTGCCTTCGTATCCACTCGTTTTTTTGAAAACAATAAAAGCCTTTGTGAAATGTCGGTTCAGCTCGTTCTGTTGATCGCAATTCTAAAACTATTGTCGCCTCGACGCCTATTTAAATAATAATAATAATAATAATAATAATATTAACTGGTTTGAGGGAAAGAGACAAACGGGAAAAGTCTGAAGAAAAAATTGACTGTCACCACCAGGAATAATAATAATAATAATAATCGTAAAATGGCAATAAATAAGATAAATTGTGCACTCATAACAACAGCAAAAATGAAGAAAGTCAAGTTCCATAACGTTTTCTTGTGACTGTCATCAGTGGAACGCCGTCACATAAAAATGTAATAACTAAAACACACACTTATATACATGTAGCTAATATGGTTTCAGGTAGAAATACAGCAGCTAACAGGTACAAAAAGGGAAGTTTGCACCTTTGCAATGTGTGAATATAGTGTATGTGAGAAAGGTAGTGGCAGATGAATGTGATACTGTGTGAATGAATGTAATGGTGCGTGTGTATTACTTGAAGAGTGTGAGACGCAGGAGGAAGCACAGGCACGGCACAGAACGAATCAAGGAAGGGGAAGCGGTGTCGCGAGGAGATGGAGACTGATGACGACGAATACGAGTACGATGGGATGGACGGCGGCATTGGAATGGAGGTGGAGGATGAGAGTAGTGATGAGGAGGAGTTTGATGTTGACAAGAGGAAGTCTGCAGTGTACAAGCATTTGGTGTCCAGTCCAGAATGTCGTAAGGTGTTTGACGATTCCTGGTTTAGTGTTATTCGTTGCGCACGTTTCTTCAAGCAATTGCAGGTGTTGGAAGCTGTGTATATTCGTACTCGTGACCCTGTGCTATGTAAACAGAAAGAAAACGTTGTATCACTCACACTCTTCAAGTAATACACACGCACCATTACATTCATTCACACAGTATCACATTCATCTGCCACTACCTTTCTCACATACACTATATTCACACATTGCAAAGGTGCAAACTTCCCTTTTTGTACCTGTTAGCTGCTGTATTTCTACCTGAAACCATATTAGCTACATGTATATAAGTGTGTGTTTTAGTTATTACATTTTTATGTGACGGCGTTTCACTGATGACAGTCACAAAAAACGTTATGGAACTTGACTTTCTTCATTTTTGCTGTTGTTATGAGTGCACAATTTATCTTATTTATTGCCATTTTACGACTATTGTCTCCTCGTCGATTGTTTAAATAATAATAATAATAATAATAATAATAATAATAATAATAATAATAATAATAATAATAATAATAATAATAATAATAATAATAATAATAATAATAATAATAATAAAAAAAAATAAAATAAATAAATAAAAAAAAAATAAAAAAAAAATAAAAAAAAAATAATAATAATAATATTGACTGGTTTGAGGGAAAGAGACAAACGGGAAAAGTCTGAAGAAAAAATTGACTGTCACCACCAGGACTCGAACCAGGGACCCTCGCTTGTAGCCAGCGATGCTCTAACCACTGAGCTATGGTGTAGTCGTCATCCCAGCAGAGGCCGTTCAACATTTTCTTCAGACTTTATAACTCACACTTCCTGTGAATCCACACAGGCGGGTGGGACGCAGCCCTCACTGTAACCCACACACTTCACGTACAAACTAGCACGCGGGGAGCCCCAAGTCATAAAATATTGACTGGTTTGAGGGAAAGAGACAAACGGGAAAAGTCTGAAGAAAAAATTGACTGTCACCACCAGGACTCGAACCAGGGACCCTCGCTTGTAGCCAGCGATGCTCTAACCACTGAGCTATGGTGTAGTCGTCATCCCAGCAGAGGCCGTTCAACATTTTCTTCAGACTTTATAACTCACACTTCCTGTGAATCCACACAGGCGGGTGGGACGCAGCCCTCACTGTAACCCACACACTTCACGTACAAACTAGCACGCGGGGAGCCCCAAGTCATAAAATATTGACTGGTTTGAGGGAAAGAGACAAACGGGAAAAGTCTGAAGAAAAAATTGACTGTCACCACCAGGACTCGAACCAGGGACCCTCGCTTGTAGCCAGCGATGCTCTAACCACTGAGCTATGGTGTAGTCGTCATCCCAGCAGAGGCCGTTCAACATTTTCTTCAGACTTTATAACTCACACTTCCTGTGAATCCACACAGGCGGGTGGGACGCAGCCCTCACTGTAACCCACACACTTCACGTACAAACTAGCACGCGGGGAGCCCCAAGTCATAAAATATTGACTGGTTTGAGGGAAAGAGACAAACCGGATACACGGGCAGCAGCTGCGAGAACGGTAAGCCTCCAGCACTGGACATGATGGAGCCATGCTTGCTGAATCTTGGGCTCATATGACTGTGTGTACTTAGCAGAATTTTTTTCCGGATACACGGGCAGCAGCTGCGAGAACGGTAAGCCTCCAGCACTGGACATGATGGAGCCATGCTTGCTGAATCTTGGGCTCATATGACTGTGTGTACTTAGCAGAATAATAATAATAATAATAATAATAATAATAATAATAATAATAATAATAATAATAATACGAAGTGTGTATCAGCAACAAAAACAAAAAAGTGAGAACGAATGATAATAATAACAATAATAAACAAGAAGGTGACAACGTTGCCATACTACACAAAAGAACATTATTTGAACAATTTTAGGGTAATAACGCTATCTTTCTGCACACACAAAAAAACCTAAAATTGTCAGTAGAAATCACTCGTTTTGCTTGTCTTTGGTGCCTTGGCCGTCGTGAAGCGGTTACAAAAGGGTCTGAGGTAGCCTTGTGAGCTATATATCTGCTGTATCATTATTACCAAGTTATGGGCGCAAGGGTGGCATTGTAATCATGAAACGGTGGCATCTGCTCTCAAATAGCGAGATTTGGCTTAATTGTGCCCAGGGAGCTTCCTCCGGCGCCCATCTGCTGCAATCTTTGCCAAACCAAACAAAAATATCTTCCGACGCCTATCCCCACTTCCAAACTGCAACTTCTGTCTCTTTTTGCTCTGTTTCGTTCAGATGTGGATGAGTGTACCAAGTATCAGGGCATCTGTGATCAGAAAAAATTGAAACATCCCTATCCACTGTCTTGTAAGAACTACCACCGTGGCTATAGTTGCGAGTTGCCAGGCCCTGACGAAGGCTGTAAGTGACAGGGATTTAAAATACAGATATAATTATTTCTCAGATTGAGGATATAATTATGTATAAACTCAATCTGTACACAAAGTGTCTGCGAAAATCGGAGTAACGAAGAAAGCTTTTTGGCCTCTGTTGTGTACTAAATCTGCATATGTTCCCAATCTGTATATATTATATGGATAGAGTAAGATCTGGTTCCACACAGCTGCGGAGAGGGTGCTCAATGTCAAAAAGACAGAGCAATGACACACAAGTCGTCAAGCGACGGATAGCCAAGAAATTCGTTGTTACTCCGAGTTTCGTGCGAAACCACTCATCAGACAACTTCATAATGACACTTACGGCAGAAAACACCAAATAAATAGTCTACATTGGGTTGAAATGTGGAGGGATTTCAGTGCTAGGTCTCACGGCCGTTCAGCCGCGGCCATCGAATAACATGGCGGCGATTTTACTGATAAATTGCAAATTTGTACTTTACACGTTCGATTTATGTAATTGGCATGGTTTCAGGTGGATCCTTTTGAATCAAGTAGAATCAAGTAGTTGACCTTAGGTAAATCGAGGTTTCAGAGTCCTGACCGAACGTGAAGTGCATGCAAGACAGATAAGTAAAATAAAATATTGCAACAGGACGAGATATAGAGGGCGAAGAAGAACCGACTTGAAAAGAGCCGGAGAGTCACTGATTATTGACATGACCATGGTATGAAGTGAAGGATCACGATGGCTGCCGCTTTCCTCGATGCCTTAGCTGCGGCGACTGAGTGGCCTGGACCCGGGCAGCGTTCTTGTTAGGTGCTGCGTGGCAATTGCTTCGAAATTTTCATGGGCGCAGGAATCTGCCAGAAACGCTTCTCCAGAGAGAGATGAATTCCGCATGGATGCTCTCTTAGCCTTGCTCAGCGAGCAAACCAAGTCGGATCATAGCTTGCATGGCATGCATCTCTAAAGGTGCAGCTATTGACGTGCCATTTGTTTCTCTTCACGAGCTTGTCTCGTACGAGCCCATGAAATGTTCGATGTTTCATGTTGCTGCTGAGCTTTGCTGAGTCCTCAGAGTACAATGGAACTGAAGAAGCTGTGCAAGTCTGAGTGAGCTACCTGATAATGAAGGCAAAGGGAATGAGCAGGAGTCAGTAACTGCCTGTGATCTGAAATTCTCAGTCCAGTCACACAATGTCACTCCTGCTTAGTTTGGTTGCACATAACCTCGGAATTGTGGCCAATGACAACTTGCTCATAGCCTTGCCGAGCTACGTAGCTGAGCTGGCTTTTGGTTGTTGTGGCCTTTTGCTCGGCTGCTTCCTCGTTAGCTATGTCTTGCTGCAGTTTGGCATATAGCATGAAGCTCCTATTAGCTGGCAGACCTCTGCCAGCACTGATCCATCCTAGATCCAGGAATAAATCCCCAGGTCTAGATGCAACAATGCCACAAGTTAGCCCAGTGCAAGGTCGTTTCCACAAGGAGTCTGACACAGGACATAACGCAGTCCTGTACTAAACTTTAAACAGTGCCTTTCTCCAATGTTGAGTTACTATCATGCACTACGTATGTGCTCATTTCCCTGTTCTTATTGCTGTGCATTTGTTGTACATTGATGCTTCGAAACGTTAATGGCATATTGCTATCCATGTTATGCGCCCTTGTGTGTGTATTTGGTTGTGTGTGTGTGTGTGCGCGCGTGTGCGAGCACGTGTATGTGTGTGTGTGTGTGTGTGTGTGTGTGTGTGTGTGTGTGTGTGTGTGTGTGTGTGTGTGTGTGCAGTCACGGCTATGAGTGCAGAAGAAATCCTCTCTTGCTTTTGCGTGACTTATGTCTGTGTTGTCTGACTGCTCTGATAATGTTCTCTTCCAATTGTTACAATCATATGACTTGTCGCAGTGCCGGTCCTGTTGTTACAGCTGTGAGACTTGGTGCAGTTGGTGTGAATGATGAAGAAACTTGGCAAACAGTTGCAGTGATGATTGATGTGGAAGCAAAATAAATTACTTGCTAGTACAAGACTTTGGCTGAGTGGCACAATGTCAGCTCTGCTCAAATTTTGGCCATCTCTCCGTTTTGATCTACAATTTGGGTAGAAACTACTACTTTTGGTAGTGTTCTTTTTATTTTTTTATTCTACTCAAAAGGGTAGATTCTACTTTCCTCTACCGGCTCTACTATAGACTAAACCGAACCACGTCTCTAGCTGACACACTACTCACTAGTGAGGTTTTGCATTCCGAATTTCAGTTCGGTATTCTTCGGTCATTTATCGAACATCAAAATGTCGAATTTTCGCACCAACGTTTGTTTCGCAAGTCGAAAATGATGTGTTTTCATTTCGTGAGCCCCAGCATCAGCAACGTCCTGTCCCGTGCTCCTTTTCTTGCTGATTTCAACGAACTTTGATCGTCCAAAGAGTCAAAGGCCAAACTTGCCTCCTCAATCGCCTCAGAAAAACCAACTCCTTGGCCAAATCGAATTTAAGTGTATTGCCATAGTCTTTTCAGCCACACAGATGACGGTGAGGACACTCCAGGCGAAAGAGAGTAGACAGGCAGTGAGGAGCAATCAAAGTTAGCTGACGATGCCGATGTCGCCAAAGATGCCTGCGAAGCCATGCCGAGATAAGAAACCTTTTTAAATAAATCACGCGCTATCGCTCTTCTACAAGAAAATTCATCCGAAAATATTTCGGCAAACGGAGCTTTTTCCGAATAAACCTGCCGAATCTTCGTGTGCATTTTCGACCTCGCTGGAAAACCCAGCTGGGAAGCGACATGGTGTGTGTGTGGGGGGGGGGGGGAGGGGGATCAACGGTACTTTACGCTAACCTATAATTAAAAACTGTATACCCGTGTTGCTTGTATGATTTCAGTACACTATTCCGGAGACGAGATTATAAAAGATTTTGAAAACGGAGTTTTCAGATTCCAGTGCCCAGAAGGAAAGTTTCCATACTGCAACCCTGGCACTGAATGCGATTATAGGAGAGGAGCATTAGCCCCGCTTAAATGGGATCAAGGCTCCAGTCAATATATATTTTACAACGTGCCAACTTGCAGGCCACTAGGTAAGTTTCATAGTTTCATAGTTTGTTGCTTGATGTGGATCCCTTGTGCATATTATCCTCACGATCGCGCCTCATTTCCTCTGTCCTGGCTTATGAGTCCACAAAGGACGAAATAAATCTTTCCGCAGATTGAGTATTTCGCTCCTGATCTTGTAGCAGTTGAGCACTCTGGGGTGGGGTAGTGCCTTTGCTGTTTGCGTCATGCAGAGCTCACTGACTGGTCAGTTTGAGCACTCTGGCAAGGTAGATTCGGGCCTGCTTTTAATCTGTCTAATTCGTCCTGCAATAGATGAGGGGAACATATTCTATGTGCACGATAAACTGGGAAGCCAACGTTCACCGGCCTCTACATTCCGTGGGGGAGCTATACTCCAACGAAATCGAAGAGACATCTTGTGAAAGCGCTAGTTTATCGTGCACATAGAATATGTTCCCCTCATCTATTGCAGGACGAATTAGACAGACTGACATCAATATTTACGAACAACGGCTATCCAAAGGAATTTCTGGCCAAGCTAATCAACGAAAAACCGGTGACAGACAAGCCTATCCAATTTGGACCTGACCGTTGCCCAGTGGTGCTCCGTTTACCCTGGGTTGGCACCGGTTCTGCACGCGTGGAGAAGGATGTTCGTGGTATTGTATGTCCATCATATCCGTGCGTCAAGCTGTACGTCATATTTGGGACAGTGTGTGCGTTCAGTGTGAAGAAGGATGTTCTATCTACCCTTAGTAAAAGTAACCTTATCTATTTCTTTCAATGCCGACAATGTGAAGATCGGTATGTAGGTAGAACCCTTCAGCACCTGGGCGCACGCATTCGTCAACATGTGCCGTTAAGTTGTGTTCCGCTTGATGCGCGCGATTGTCGTCCTCGCCGTGGTCGTCCTCCAAAATGTGCTGTCCAGTCCATCGGTGGATCTTCCTCTTCCCGTGAAGATGTGACTGCATGCCCGTCCTCCTGTGCGTGTGTAGGACACGGGCCAGCTGAGAACAGCATAAAAGATGGTGAAAGACCGACACGTAAACCACCTGACAAAGGATCTGTCGGCGTCGGAAAGGGTGACGAGAAGCCAAGTGAAAATACGGACTGGTGAGGACGAACGTACAGCGACAACGGAAGTGACAACAACAGTCAATATTCGAAAACGTGGTAGACCGCGAAAACTAACCTCAATATCGGACACCGAACAAGTTGGAGTAAGAAGCTCAATAGAAATCCGCAATGGAGGAGACATAGCTGAAAGGACACTGGGTATCGCGCACCCAACGGTTAGTGTCAAGAAACGTGGAAGGCCGCGGAAACGCGAAGAGACGGATAGTGGTGATGCCACGAAAAGGCGAGATGACGGGACATTGGAGGAGACAACACCCAATGGAGCTAAGAATCGCACTTCGTCAATCAAGCAACATCTGTCAGCCCGTACCAATTGTCGTGAGTTGTACAGTGGTAATGTTTTCTCAATATTGTCACGTGGTAGATGTGCGTTGCATTTGGCTGTGTTAGAAGCTTTGTATATCCGTAAGTTAGATCCTGAACTTTGCGTACAGAAAGAAAATGTGTTGTCGCTACAATTGTTTGGTGTTACTCCTCGTCGAGGTGGTAACAATGTAACTTAATTTGCTCACTATGTTGTTGTCACTATTATTATTTTCCTTCGAGTTTTGTGTCGTGCGAAACTTGATAATTTTCCACCTTGTCACGAGTGTTGTTATCTAATTATCTTTACGCTATATAAGTTTTAGTCTTTCGAACTTGAGCCATTCCCTGTATAATCCTTGATGAGAAGGGACCGAACCGTTTGGATACTTGTGACAAGTGCCTTATTATATCACCTACGCTCCGTAGCCACCCGTGCCCGCCAACGGCTTGGGGTTCTAAACAGAGCCGCCCACATCCTCACCCCCGCCGGCCGGACGACAGTGTATAAGGCGTTCGTACGACCAGTCATGGAGTATGCGCCTCTTGTATGGATGGGAGCTGCGCAGAGTCACCACCAGCGTCTGAACAATGTTCAGCGCCGCGCACTCCATGCTATCGGCCCTGGGGCACACCTACCCAGCTTGGCCATCCGCCGTACTGTTGCCTCGCTTGCCTGCCTGTACAAGCTGCACTACTTGCCTGGTCCACCGCAGCTGCTCTCTGTGTTGCCGACACGCCATATCACCTCTGCCAACCCCAGAACCCGCAGCGAGCACGGTAGTGTCAGTGGCCATGACCACCAGCTCCAACACCAGCTGCCTGCATCTGCCCCGCTGGAACTGAAGCGTTCCTTCCCACACTGCAGCATCAGCGACTGGAACTCCCTCCCTGCCGCTCTCCTGTCCCAGCCTCCCCACAGCAAGAGAATGCAATCATTCAAAACGAACGTTTATCGCCATCTTCGCAGCACAAACTGGCTCTGGGCAGTCGATTCCCTATGAATAGTATGATGCTATGATAGTTTCTCCCCACACTCACTCGTGTTAAGGCTTGGGTTTTGCGGGTTTTTCGCATCTTTCTGACCTGTACAGCTCTATCTTCTTCTTTTTTTCCTTGTTTTGGTGCGTGTTTTTGGCCGTGACGCCGAGACCTCAGGCCGGCAGAGTCATCAATGCCCCACCATCACTGCTGCGTCTAGTCACAGCGCCTGCTCATTACTTGTCAGTTTGTCCTAGTCTCCGTACCATTGTCTTTCCTTATTCTTTTCGAGCTGGTTATGTGAACATGGTAAAAAAATAAAATATAAAAATTATGACTGGATGTGTGTTTGCGTGGATACTTGCGACCCATAACTTACCTTCGTTTTAAAGTATTATCCGCCTCCGACCTCTTTTAAAAATAAAAATAATAATAATAATAATAATTTGATAATCGCAATCAGTAATACAAGCTGAATTGACATTTTGTGTGCACTGTATTCATGTAATGCAAAACTGTGGAGACAATGTGCAATAAAACGATGAAAATGTGAAGAAATTGTGTAGACAAAAAAAAGGGATTCAAACAAGTTTTCGTACAACACTCATCAGGAATTTTCGTTGTACTAAAGGACACTGAAAACAAATTGAACTATTATAGAAAATCTAAGTTAGAGAAATAACACTAAGAACAACAGCAGTGAAAATTACAAGTGTGTATTTTAACAATGAAAGCGAGAGCAATACCGAATGTGTGTACTAACACTAAACTTGCAACTGAAAAATGAACAAAGAAGAGAAAGAAAGAAGAAAGGACAAAGTGATAACAAATAACAGTAGTACATTACACCTAGAACATTAACGGCCAAGCTTGGCCGCACCAAACATGACACTTTACTTGAACAATTTCAACCCAATTATACTATCTTTCTGTACACACAAATTAGGCTTATACAGACGCTGACAGATGGCTTCCAAAACTTTCAACTGTAGTCCATAACCATGACGACCACGGCACAATACAGTGAATGAAGAGTCGGAATACGAATTGCAACAATCAGGACTAGCCAACAGATGATTGTACACTGAAGACTTGCTACCACGAAACCTATGTACAACAAAAAATTTCACTGTTGTTGTTCTTAGTGTTTTTTCTCGAACTTAGATTTTGTGAGCAGACCGTGCGCCACTTGTCCGGTATCATGGAAAGACGCGAAAGTGTGCAGAATTTTGCTGCAAGTCCAAAAAAGTCACGTTTCGGAGCCTTGTATTGGGCTGCACGGCGGCGGGCTTCGCAGCCGTGAAGCAGGACTTTTGCCAGCACCCTCGTGACGTTTCAGATATGTGGCTTGATTATTGTAGTTGACGTTGATTTAGTAACTTTGGCAAGTTTGAGTCTTGTCCTGTCAAGAAGTCAGGTGGGATTCAGTACTAGGCAGTAGTGGAACGTGAGTGGTAGTCTTTGCCGATTTTTGAGGGTATCCTGGATTTGGTTTGCAGCGCTGTGCAAATGGCTTGCTGCGGAGGTCCTAGCACTGGATGTTGTATCAAAGGTACGACCTCGTAGCACGCCCTAAACCTAAACAAATTCAAAAATTGACTTGGGTCTGTAGGAGTCTGTGAGAGAACGCCCACTCCTGCCATTGTGACAGATTCCAGGGCCACGTTGAGGGACCCTATCCCACCACCCATGGCTGCTTCTGGACTTTTGTTTTTGTTTGGATCCCGTGCAAAAAATGCCATTCAGGGTTCGGCCGTCTGCCAAATGCGTGCCGGCGAAAATCAAACGCTGCTAGTCTTGGGGAATACTCTCCTTGTCTTGGTCAGCAGCCTGCATGTCGTCGTTCTCATCAGCTTCGGCAACACCACCGGTAGTATACATGTAGGTAGCGGGTCGCTTGGAATCGCCATTGGAGTCTCCAGTGTGTGCCGTGCGGAGAGAAGGGTGATCCACGCTAGCACCCTGACTGTGCTGCAGGCTAATAAGCAGGGCCAAGCCCAGGATGGCAAGAAACATGATTCTCATCTTGAAAAAAAATGAATTTACCGCTGCCACCAATTTGTAGCGGGCTGCAGTCGCACGGAGCTGCAGCAGGTTGAGCCATGGGGGTCTGAGAAACGTGTAAAGTAACGAAGTTAGGTATAGAATGAAACAAAATGAATTTACCGCTGCCACCAATTTGTAGCGGGCCGCAGTCTCTCGGAGGCAAAAATACACAAGGGTCTCAGTGAACACACTGTAACTGACAATTAAAATGTAACTATAACTGGCAATGAAATTAACTATAACTGGCCATGAAATTAACTGGCTCAAAAGAATCGTTAACAGCAGCTTTAATGCACAGGCAGACTCCGTATGCTAATGTACGGGGATACGCTTACGTATGGGGATACAGTACGGGGATATGCTATCCTCTAAACACTATACACTATACGCTTTGAAGTCACCAGCGTGCCAACGCTACTCACGGACAGAATGGGCAAGAAAATGTGAAAAAATGTAAATGCATATTTTTGGCTCCTGGGTGGCTTGCACACCGTGGCACTATGCCGGAATTTTGAGTTGTTTCCGGCCTGGAAAGCCTGTCAGTGTGGCGCAAGAACTTTTACATCATGTCCGGAGGGCCACCATAGTGGCGGGAGTGTGTGGAGAAATTTCCACTCAAATCCATTGAGAGACGCCAAATTTACGGTCAATTGAATGCCATATGAAATTTATTGTCAAGTCTGCAGGAAAAGCTTCATTTCACAAGTAGAGAACAAGCAACAACTCCATTGATGTGAATGTGAAAATCGATTATGAAAAACATTTGACTTCGTTGATGCATGATGATGACGGCAGAGTTAGTTCTTTTTATTGCTTTATTAAAATTGTTGTCAACGCGGCGATTATTCAACTTCATGTGTGCTTCATTTTTCCATTTTCAGCCATAAAAATCTGCGCAGGCCTTAAAATCTACCACGGCACAATGCATGCCATGGGTGGGAGTGGCTTAGCTTCCTCGTATGCTGATGCTGAGAAACAGTGCCAAGGTGGTGGAGGGTTTCAGCAAGTAAATTTGGCTTTCTCGCAGATACAATTTAACCAAGATACACTCAACTGCCTCGCAGGAGCGACTACGCAAACATGGACTAAGGATCATCATTCCATAGTGTACCCAGGCAAAGCTATAGGAAGGGTCAGGGCTGATGCGGAAATTCCAGTCCTCTGCATCTCCCTTCACTATAGTAAGTACATTTGTATGTTTATGCTTGAATCTTGGTGAATACACTTCCTTTTAGGTGAGGAACAGCTCAAAGTAGGCCTGCTATTAAGCCTATTTTTCAGGTTTATTGAGTTTACTAAGGATATTATTACTTGGTCCGCTCATCTTTCAGCTTTGTTTATACGCCGCTAGGGTTTACCGGGTGTTAGCGGGAACGGACACGATTTACGTTTTTTTGTTTTGTTTATATGTCGTCAAAGCTCACTAGGCAGCTCATTTCTTCCCAATTTTGGTTAGTAATAGGCACTTTGCCCCATTTTTTCAAATCGCGTTTTTTTGGTAATCGATGGTGGTGGGTATCACTAGGTCACACAGAACATTTTTTTGAAATCCACACTGATACCACTCAGATATGAAGGGTTGAAGATAGGCAATTGCATAAGGCGAAATCAATACAATTTGTGGCACCAACAGCATCTTCAAAGTATTATCAGTGGATATAGTCACAAAACATCAGAGTGTTTTTTTTCAAGCACACATCACTCACTTACACCAACAACTTTGCGGTCACAATTGCCGTATTCTTGACTATTCTGCGGTCACAATTGCCGTATTCTTGACTATTCTGAACTTTGATCTGTATTGTTTCGATCCATAATCACTATAGCAACTCCATAGCAACCCATAACAACGCCATAGTAACCCATAGTAACAGCTTCAGTTTGTTGTGAAATGAACTGATAACGACATACTGGCAGGCTCCTGCGGGTACTAAAGCGTAAGAGCTATAAAGATATTCTTCTGGCACAAAACAACAGAGAACTTCCACGTTGTACGCCGTACACTGCAAGGGTAAGTACGCGCGCGCACGTGTGTGCGCGAATTACTGCACAGGACACAGTCATGCCACTTCAAGTGATTCCAAATTGGCAAGAAGTTCCTCAGGACCTCTGTTGGTGGCTTCTTTCCATGGTGTGATATCTGCCTCCCTCTCATTCAACTGCTCCATGCAGCAGTCATGAATTGCCTGATGGTGAGCTTTGAAAGTTTGGTGAAGCGTGCCTGGCTGTGTATATCAAAGCATCCCCTCATCAGAGGGTTTCTCCAGCAGCCACTGTGCTTTTTGATTGTTCGTAAACATCAGTAGGCCTTCCAGCGCAACCGTGTCAAAACTTGGCTTTCAGTACGCTTTGAGAATTCACCCAGGTAGGACGACGCATCGTCGTTCTCCTCCGCCTAAAGCGCATACTTCTCAGTGCCTACGTCCATAATGTCTCCTTGCGCAGCGCTGCGCAAACCCTGGTAAACAAGAACTCTACTGTTTCCGAATGGAAAGACGACGCTGAAAACGATAAGCAACGTTTCAAACGCGATCAAACAACAGTTCTTTGTGAAAAAGCTCTTTGCTGGAAGTGTACGTGATCTACAAGTCGCAAAAATGTACGCACTATGACGTATGCGGGATCTACTGAAAGCTGAACGTCAGAGCAACACGATGCGCCCAACTATCAGCCCGTACAACAAAGCATAGCGCGTACCTGTACAGGTTTGCGCGTACCTGTACAGTTTTGCGCATGCTGCCCGACTGTCGATAAAAAATACGTCTCCAAAATGCAGCTGTTTGCATTTGAATTTTCCCGCGCTTTGGCATTTGGGATAATAAAACTACCTCTAAACGTCGACTTTTCGCAAAACGGCGCATCGCCTGTACAGGTAGCGCATTTGACTGGTGCCACGCAAGTACGCACTCTCACCTTAGCAAAATTTGACAGGTCTGGTCACGTGACTGAAGTGCCTAATAGTAAGTTAGTTTACTGAAAGGTCTACCTACAGTTCGAGTGGATTTTGAGAGCGACGGGTGGGTGATTCTGATTGATACAGCGCCGCATCAAAATAGATTATCTTGGTAAGCTGTGCAGGCAAGAGCAGCGCAAGCCACAATAAAGTAATCGGTTACTCGGAATCAGCTCCATTTTGCTGAACGGCCAAGATCGCTCACCTCAGGGATCGCTCGTCAAGCTGAGATCTCAGCTCCCTTACCTCCAACTCAACGCTCGGAGTATCCAGTGCGTCGTGGAGATTTGCAAGTACTGTACGCGTCGTCGTCGTCGTTCAAAATAAAATCTTGCAAAGAACGGCGTCTGATTTAAACCACACAGGCTGTCGTACTGCCCACGCGAAGTCCTATAGAAAAGGCGACCGTCACTATCGACTTCTGATCACTTCAAGTGCACGCGTTCGTGTCCAAAGTCTAAGTTCATATTGAGCCGTCAGATGCGAAAAGGGTGCTTATGGCATCACACAGCAAATCGAGTAAAGTGCGTCAGAGTGACAGGCTGTCATGTACCTGTCACGTGCATAAGTGAATCTTGATGTGACGTCATTTTTTGATCGTTGCGGAGTGAGTGTGCATCCCACAGCGCTGGTATGTACACTGTACTAGCGCACTGCTGAGACTCCCAGCTTTCTGTACATACTTCAACCGGCCTGATACTCCAAAGAACGGCGGAGTTACGTACAAAAAACTGCCTTTTGTTGGTGGCGCATTTCTCAAGAGCTCCGCGCTCTGATTTTGAACGAAATTCATTTGTCTCCTGTCCTGCTTGACTTTCCGTATTCTATTACAAATTTCAAGATAAGCAGGCAGTCTTACTTTACTGTGGATGAGGCTTTAGCCAAAGTTCTTCAGGACATGGATGTAGAATTGTGTGGCGACTCTCACTCAGAGTGCGAGCCAGACGAGGTATTTGACCCAAGCGAATGTGCAGCACCCGAAAACAGCGATGCATTTTTTGATGAAGAAGAGGACAATGCAGAACCATTCGAAATCAAGGTTGCTGAAGTAACGGAGCTCTTTTTTGGCGGCTCATCTTCCCAGGAGCAAGCGTGTGCTGGTGCGGAACAGCAGCAGCAGCAACATCAGCTTCTGTCCAAGCGAATCAGGAGAGCCTGCAATTTTTCTGCAACTTAGACCGTAAAAGTTGCAAAAATTCTGGATACTAAATTGACGATATCTTCATGATGGGTTTAGATTTTTGAGTCCGGTTTTTTGGAGGTGAATCATAAAAGCCTAAAGATTTTGCCTGAGTGCTTATCTCAATTTGACCAAAATACGCCATAAGCACCCTTTTCGCATCTGACGGCTCTATTGTCGAAACATAAGCGACAATATTGCTGACGCGGACCAAGTATTATTATGTCTCCTTTATTCACTTCTTTCGAAGGCGATAAGCCAGACCCACCGGGAAAATATTTCCATGGGTGGGACAGCAAAAAGAAAGTGGAAAAATAAAAAGCTAAAAATCAATGGGACAAGAAATAGGGGAAGGAATAGGGGAAGGAAGAGGAAGAAAGGAAAGATCCTCGATTGTGGCTCCGAGGTCCTCCAGCAGGGCATTGATGCGTTTTCCCGTTGGGGACATAAGTGGAGGATCAAATGTGAGCCCTCCAAGACGCAGGCTAAGTCTATAGGCCACCATCGCCAGCCCTGGGAGCTCCCTCGAGCAGCATTTGATGGCACACCAGTCAGTGAAGAGAGTCGGCTGAAACTCCTGGGAGTCACCTTCGACGACAACAAGAGTACATAACCCCCTGGAGTGTGCAACTCGACTATGGGTGCTGTCCCGACAGAATTTCAAGTTGACGGCATTTTTATGATGCAATGCGCACTATACACGGATTACCAAACGAATCCGAAACCTGTGGTTGACCAAGGCCGATCTGATCCTGTACAAATTATTGCAAAGAAAAACGTGTGATGTGTTGACACCCGTACACATGTTGTAAATCACTGGTGCAAGAAGCATTGCGTCATAAATAATAACGTCAACTTGAATTTCTGTCGGGACAGCAGGGTATGTGGGAGTTGCACACTCTGGGGGTTATGTACTCTTGACGACACCCTGAGCTACTCCTTCCACCTCCGCTCCCTAGTTTCCCGTGCTAACCAGCGGATTGGCTTTCTGAAGCGAGCATCTCCCATTCTGGACGCTGAGAGCCGCCAACACGTCTACAACAGCTTTGTGCGACCCACACTCGAGTATTGCCCCTTAGTGTGGTTGGGCTCACCATCGTCCCATCTTAAGAACCTGGACCAGATCCAGCGAAGGGCCCTCCACATATCGGAGCAGGTACTTGGCTCCCTAGCCTGGCAATTCGTCGCCTGGTAGCTGCACTTGTCTATACCTACAAGCTCCGCTATCTGGATGCATCCAGCCCTCTGAAGCAGATGCTGCCCAAACCAGCCACTCACCATGCCCCCAAGACGAGACCTACCCGTCAGTCTCTCCAGCTGCAGGATTCCCATCCATACCAAATGACAACTGGCCTGCCTGCCAACACCTGGAACGGCTGCCTTCAAGGATTCCCTGCTTGCATGGATGCAACGTGGAATGCCCTGCCACCAGACCTGTTCCACCACCCACCTGCCCAGCCCCACATGCAAAGCTTCAAGAAAAGGTGTGCCATCATCTTCTTGCTCAGGACTGGCTCTCTGCTACTTATGCACTTTGAATATGCTCGCCAACGCTTTCCCTGTTCTTGTTAGTGTTCAGCTGCCTAGCTTATAACCCTGCTGCCATCATCACCAATATCCTGATTCTCATGAACATTTCCCAAAACCTGCTATCCATCGCAGTCCCCATCACCAGGAGCACTGTGCTCTTCTATCTCCCAGCTCTCTCCCTCTCTCCCTCTCTTTCTCTCTCTCTCTCTCTCTCTCTCTCTCTCTTTCTCTCTCTCTCTCTTTCTCTCTCTCTTTCTCTCTCTCTCTCTCTATATATATATATACTCAATCTGCGGACAGAACTGTTTCGTCCTTTGTGGACTCGTCAGCGCAGCACAGAGGAAATGAGGCCGCACCTGATAGCAATGGAAATAAAAATTTCCAATCAGGCCCGAACGTACCTTGCCAGAGTGCTCAAACTGACAAGTCAGTGAGCTCTGCATAACGCAAACAGCAAAGGCAATAAATAAATATATGTATATATATATACTCAATCTGCGGACAGAACTGTTTCGTCCTTTGTGGACTCGTCAGCGCAGCACAGAGGAAATGAGGCCGAACCTGATAGCAATGGAAATAAAAATTTCCAATCAGGCCCGAACGTACCTTGCCAGAGTGCTCAAACTGACAAGTCAGTGAGCTCTGCATAGTGCAAACATATATATATATATATATACAAATATTTATTTATTGCTCTCTTTCTCTCTCTCTCTCTCCCTCTCTCTTTCTCTCTCTCTCTCTCTTTCTCTCTCTCTCTTTTTCTCTCTCTCTCTCTCTCTCTCTCTCTCTCTTTCTCTCTCTCTCTCTCTCTCTCTCTCTCTCTCTCTCTCTCTCTCTCTCTCTCCCGATAATTATTAGCTCCCCGTTTTCTTTTGATGCGTTTGCTGTGCAGTGAAGCCGAGACCCTAGGTCGGTGGAGCACATCAGACCCCGTCACCACGTCCACGATTCATGCCTGCTATGTTGCACCGCTGCTTTGCATGTCATGATTGGAAGCTGTGGCCTTATTTTAAAAAAAGGAACCTCATCCTGAACTCCTCTATTATTGTTGTGTGTGCATCGCACGGCCCAAGTCTACTGAATTTACTAATGTCATTGAGGATGATCAACATTGCTTGTGGGGCTTCCAGGCGTAACAAAGACCTACCACGCGACAAAACAGAGAATACATCATCGGAATACCGCTCACGACAACTAGCACTGCCCGACAGGTGATACTTGATTGCCGAGGTACTGTTTCCCTGACCCGACGACTTGGCCGTTGTCACCTCCGATCCTGCCGCTTTCCAGTCTTTCCTATTACGCCCTGCGTCCCTGCAATTCCGGTTGCCTCGGTCGACATCAGTGTGCTGCTCCACGTTCAGTCTGTCCTGCTTCCGGGACTCGAACCAGGGACCTTGCTATTCGCGAGCAATGTTCTAACCAACTGAGCTACAGTATGACTCTTGTCCACATTGATGGTAAATCTATCCTTCTTCGATCAATCCATATCTGGCTTGCATCATACTGGCAACTCACACAAATCAAGGGGGCCCTCGGCCATTCGCTTGATATCATGGGGAGCGCAACAAACTATGTCCACTGCGAGCAAATACAAATTGCAATTTCAAATTTGGTATGGTGTAGTGTGGTATGTTGTAGTGTTTGGACTTCACGGAGAATTTCAAAGTACAGGTAAAACCTGCTCCAAAGACCACCTGGACTCAGCGACCACCTGCTGTGGACGACCGTATTTGTCTGTCACCGTCCGTTTCACGTACATTCTGACTCGCATTCTGCGACCACTCGCTCGACGCGACCGGCTTACAACTGGTACCGATTGCCAGTTCAATGACCACTTCAAGACTTATGTTGAGCTAATAAAAAATGTAGAAAGGAAACGGACATTTTTGCAGTTTCCATAATCTTGAACTTTCCGAGTTGGAAGGCTGTCGGTTAGCGCTACGGAGATAAATTTTAACTGGTTTTGAGGGAAAGAGACAAATGGGAAAAGTCTGAAGAAAAAATTGACTGTCACCACCAGGACTCGAACCAGGGACCCTCGCTTGTAGCCAGCGATGCTCTAACCACTGAGCTATGGTGTAGTCGTCATCCAAGCAGAGACCGTTCAACGTTGTCTTCAGACTTCGTAACTCACACTTCCTGTGAATCCACACAAAAATTACTATTATTATTACTATTTTGTAGTCTTCATCCCAGCAGAGACCATTCAAAATTTTCTTCAGACTTCGGAAATCACACTTCCTGTGAATCCAGGACACTTCACACACTTCACGTACTAACTAGCACGCGGGGGGGGGGGGGGGGGGAGGGTCCTCACTAAACTTTTTCGATCGTTGAAAATTATCGATAATGCTGGATAGCCCCTTATGCAGTGGCCCGGTGAATGTGAACTACTGTAAGAGTTGAAAGTGTGACGAGTCTAATGTTTATCGATGTGCAAAATGTCTTACTTTGCGGGCACAAAGTCTAACGACCTTGCCAGCAGGCCCAGCACACACATGTCGTATTAGTTCTCCAGCACAGAGCTGAGAAGGAATGTGTAGCGTTTCCAGATTTTATTGATGGATTCTTTCTTGTTAATTGAAACACTAGACTTTGTGTCCCGTTAGGGATTCAACTCTTACAGTAAGCCATGTCCACCAACTGGCATGTGATGAGTCGTAGCACAACTCCAAGCTCAACCAGCTTGCATTTCTCCTCCGATGATGACCTACCCCTGTGTCTACATGTCTTACTGTCATACAGGACGCGACATCGATCGTTCGTCTCTCAAGCTCCAGTTTGAAAACAGAGGTGAGTGCGAGTAAACCTAATGAATGATGTTCCAGAGCAAATGCCCAGTCTACTTGACCTTTGGAGTGGCTGTTGCATGTAGGTTAGATAAAGAGAGAGGAAAAAGTGGTGCAAATTTGGCAGGTACATGATCACACCACAGCCTTTACATGTAAACAAGAATACAGAACAGAACAACAAGGACAATCAAGCGGCTTGTTTGCTGCTACTTCAAGGTTCATGCTCACGCAATCATCAGGCAATAGGGAGTTTCGCTCTACGGAATTACGTATGAAAATAATGTATGAACTGCACGGAATTTTCATACGTAAAAATCAGAGCTGTTGGGTTTCGCTCGACGTGATTTCTCCATGACTGCTAAACATGCGTTGTTGCTTTGGAGACGCGTTGCATGCACCCACCGTATGCACCATGAACCGAAACCGCGTTTTCCATGATATTATGCACGTGGTGTACGGTGTGTGTGTGTACCTTGTGTTTCGCGCGGCTTGAATGTTGCCATGGACAAATGCGGAAGATGCGGAAAAATATTTCAAAAAGTCCTACGGAGTACCCAACGTAGGAAAGAGCTTTCCTACGGAAATCCGTAGCGAGATTTACGTATGAAAGTTGCCCTCGCTCCCCGGCGCGTACGACATACGGATTTTCATACGTAATTACGTAGAGCGAAACCTCCCTAATATGAAGATTGGGTGCCGACCATGCCGGTATATATGCCAGGAGAGGGTGGTGTAAAAAGCTGTGTGAGAATGTGGGGGGTAGCGGTGTTATTTTCCTTTCGATGAGACGTAGTGCTCAATACCATAAGCGTAATACAGGACAGAACAACAAGGACAATCAAGCGGCTTGTTTGCTGCTACTTCAAGTTTCATGCTCCCGCAATCATCAGGCAACATGAAGATTGGGGGCCGACCATGCCGGTATATATGCCAGGAGAGTGTGGTATAAAAGCTGTGTGAGAATGTGGGGTGTTGAGCACTGTCAGCACTCTGGGTATACCCTCCGGTGAATTAGCTCCCTCTTTCCATGGTAGAGCACTCTTACCTTAGCTGTGCTACCCTAACAATGGACACTCCAAGGCGCTTCAACCTCGGATACTCTCTGAAGAATATCCCCTTGCCTAGCCACAAGGAGTACGCACCACGTCTCATCGAAAGGAATATAACATTTTCCGGATCCCTCGCCATCCGGAAGAAAATAGTTGGTTACAAATGTACAGCATATGCCATGCTTACATAAAGTATGTGTGTTCGATTATCCGGTTCCCTCGCCTATCCGGATATTTTTGGTGGAAAATGGATGTGTGCGGTTATGCAAGGCCTGACTGTGGTGTAAAACCAAGAGTACATAACCCTCCAAGAGTGTGCAACTCCACGCGCAGTGTACACGGATTATCAGACGAATCCGGAACGTGTGGAGGACCGAAGCCCATCTGATCCTGTATAAATTATTGCAGAGAAAAACGTGTCATGCGTTGACACCCGTACACATTTTGTAAATCACTGGTGCAAGGAGCATTGCATCTTAAATAATGACGTCAACTTGAAATTCTGTCGGGCCAGCAGGGTGTGTGGGAGTTGCACACTCTTGATAAAACCCTGTATTCATCATGCACGGGGTGCAAATATAATTCTGTGTACAGGTTCGTCACATGTTGTTAAGGGGGTTCGGGACAGTTAGGCCCAAACACATAATTTGAATATCAGCCCAATCTGACATCAGGTTTGCATAGGTACAGCCTTATATTTTTGCTTAGTAACATCAGTTTCAACTCTCAAAATTAGCCTAAATTTGGTAAATTCACGTATCTATATTGCTTGTACTTCTTTGCTGCTGCTTTGGCCACAATTTATTGGATTTTGGCTGTTAGGTGTTGCATAAACTTGCTAGATCCCTCGGCGTTCAGAATAATATAAGGATGGATTAGCTGAACTAGTGAATTTTCCGGAAAACCCTGGGTGCACCCATTTTCGATAGCTACTTTTCTCCATGATTACTGATTACTCTCCTGTTGGTACTTGGTTTTCATACATGTACATGTAGCTGTGATAATGGTTAGCACAGCCCCATATCAAACTACAATAAAAGCTGACATGTTGGAACGAAACAGACAACATTAGTCCTCTTGTTCTTCAACTATGTGAGCTAGAACGTGTCTCCACACTGGAAAAATGATGGTATTTTACGGTGCACACAACAAGTTAAGCACTGTGCCACTGGGCGTTACTTACAGTTGGGTTGCTGATGGTTCTTGCCTAGGTGTTCAGCCACCGCGAATATAATCTTCCTTGAGGCTGTCACCCGCTTCTCACCTCCGACTTGCTCCTTCATCAGTATGGAAATGGCTGGCTCACCACTTCGTTTGTGGGCCAAGACAAAGTGTTTCATCACCAACCCACTAACAGCTGCCGCACTGCAACTGATGTAGAGAAGCACGTTGCTTGGACCAACGGTTGAAGTGTGGCCACCTTCTTTTGCTGATGTTCTGCAAACTCCATCGCCGAACATGCTGATGCAAAAGTGGCAGAGTGCTACAGGCATCAGGGCGAGATTCACCAATTTCAGCACCGCAGTATGGTGAGCAGTGAACTCATTCCCAACGATGAACTATAAATCGATGTGAGGCTGTAGCTTGGGAGCTCCGGTATCGCGGTTTAGGGATCAAAGTGTTCACCCACCACAAAATGCGCACCATTGAGAGAGAGAGAGAGAGAGAGAGAGAGAGAGAGAGAGAGAGAGAGAGAGAGAGAGAGAGAGAGAGAGAGAGAGAGAGAGACAGAGAGAGAGAGAGAGGGAGAGAGAGAGAGGAGAGAGAGAGAGAGGAGAGAGAGAGAGAGAGAGAGAGAGAGAGAGAGAGAGAGAGAGAGAGAGAGAAAGAGAGAGAGAGAGAGAAAGAGAGAGAGAGAGACAGAGAGACAGAGAGAGAGAGAGAGAGAGAGAGAGAGAGAGAGAGAGAGAGAGAGCCATAATGTCACGTATAAAAGTAGGTGCTTATGGCCGTATAAACCGATGTAGAGAGAGAGAGGGAGGGAGGGAGGGAGAGAGAGATAGTGTGACAACAAGTCACAGACTGACATGGATATTCAGACATTCGACGACCTGACACCTACATGTAGCTCCAGCACATCTACGAAGCATAAACCTACAACCCCTCCAACTTGGAAGACTCAGGTGCGGAAAGTTCCAATGAGGGGAATGGATGTGCCACGAAAATGTGCACGAGCTACGTCCCTCGGCGACAAAGAATATCGAACATTACGGGATGGTGATGAGGAGTGGCTACGAGATAAGACTAACGTGCATCTACATGAGGAGTACAAGCGAGCCCGTGCAGAAGCCTCAAATGCTTACCGGCGAAAACGCAATCAGCATTTCCAACAGCAGTGTCGTGATCACTCCTCCAACCTGCGGATGATGTGGTCCGTGATCAACTCTGTCACTAGCCGTTCTCGTCAACATCATCAGCCAACGTGCGACATCACAGAAGTCTCGGATGCCTTCCACAGCATTGTACATGATCCGTCCCATTGGTCCACAGCCGCAAGGCTCAATGCTGACCTTCCAGTCAACCACCCCAGATGAGGTCAAGCACCTCCTGGAACGAATAAATCCCTGCAAAGCCACAGGCAGTGATGGGATTCCTGGGTGTCTGCTACGTGCTTGCGCTGACCTGTTGGCTCCATCGCTTTCAGTGCTCTTCAGCTCATCGCTGAGGCATGGTGAAGTCCCTCTGGCTTTCAAACATTCTGTAATAAGCCCTCTCTTCAAAGCTGGCGATCCATCGGTAGCTGCAAATTATCGTCCTGTGTCGCTCCTGCCGATCGTTTCCAAACTACTCAAGAAGATAGTCCAGAAGCAACTTGTTGCACATCTGGAGCAATCATGTGCCATACCACCGACTCAGTTTGCCTTTCGCCGTGAGCACTCCACAGAGGACGCCCTAGTTGTAGCAACAGATGCCATCTTAACCCTTTGAAGCCCAGCTGGGTTTTCTGATTTCCCAGGCACTCGCACCGCGCAGCACGCAACCACGGATGGTCGATTTCAAAATTTCATAATTCACTCACCAGCAATGGAATTTCATGATCTGGAGCTCCCTGAAAAGCTTGTGATCTCCTCCATCCAATGATAAAGACTAGACACTAAGCAGAAGCAATAGAAGCGCCTCCAAGTCCCTTGAGTGCAGCTCTATCGCGCCTGAACGAGATACACCACCCACAGTGACAATTTCCTTAGGTTCATGACTTTTACTCAACACAAAACAACGATTCAAAGTTCTCCGTGCTGCTGAAGCTCAAGCGGTCATCTTGGTACCCATCGCGCATGGGCTGCACTGGTATGAGTCATGGGGAAACCCCATGCGCACGCGAGCTCTACTCGAAAATTTCAAAATTCTAAAGTTTAGAAGTATTCAACCGCGTTCCGGTCTTTGCCGCTCGGGTATTTCGCATCGCGCTGCCACAAGTGACACACCGCTGGAAAGGTCTTTTCCTTACCTTTCCAACAAGCTATCGTTTGTGAAAATCAAAGAAAGGACAACGGAGATACGAAGCTTTGTACAGTGATCTATGCTCAATGCGTACACAGTGCGCGTTTTGGACGAGTATACTCGTCCTTGGGAAATCACTAGGGACGAGTATACTCGTCCTTGGGCTTCAAAGGCCCGGGACGACAAGTTGACCACAGGCGTCTGCCTAATCGACATGTCAAAAGCCTTTGACAAGGTCAATCACAGCCAACTGGTCCGGGACCTATTCGATCTCGGCCTGGACAATGCCTACCTTCGCTGGTTCTGCAGCTACTTAAGCGATCGAACCCAGCAAGTGCGCATTGGCCCCACCTACAGTGTTGCTGCTAAGTGCTCATCTGGTGTACCTCAGGGCTCGGTCCTAGGACCGATCCTGTTTAGCATGTACACCCGTGATTTCCCTGCCACAGCCCATCCTGCTCCATCTCTGCAATTTGCCGATAACATTGCCGTGCACTGCCACAGAAAATCAGTGCTAGCCACATCAGCCTGCCTGTCAGGGGCCGTCACCAACGTCGCTGACTGGCTCAAGCATCGACATCTGCTTCTAAATGACAAGAAGAGCCAGGTCCTGTCAATTGTACCACAACGCAATGCGGGTCAGCATGTCGCTGTCCGCTGCAACCAGACAGAGCTTCCCCTGAGCCCAACAGCAAGGTACCTCGGCGTGACCCTTGACGCAGCTGTGAAGTGGGACCCCCATGTTGACGCGATGGCGAGGAAAGTTGTGCAGAAGATTGGAGCATTGTGGCGGTCCCGCAGATGTCTGAGCCTCAGTAGTCGCATCCAGTATGTGAGGTCAGTCATCATGTCTGACCTCCTATATGGGTCTAACGCCTTCTCTTCCTCCCTCAAGGTTTCGCAGCTTGATCGCCTTCAGGTCCTGCAGAACCGAGCGGCGAGAGCGGTATACGGTTTGCCGCCTCACACCTCGGCTCAGCCTCTGCTCGAACGGATGTCCCTGTACGGAGTTCGCGAGTGCTACACCCAGAAGCGGCTCGTCCTGGTGTGACGCTGTGTCAATGGGAAAGCCAGCAGTGTCCTCCAGGACCTATTCTCACCATCCGCTGGCAGCACCACCCGGCACCAGGTTTCCAGGGGCCTCACTGTCCCCTCGGCACAGTCAGAAGCCGGCAGATCTCGCCTGGCCTTTCAGGCAGCCTTGGCCTGGAACGCTCTCCCAAGGAGTGTAAGGGAGATCAAGGCTGCCCAGCAATTTAAGCTTGCCTCCATCCCCTACACCTTGCAATGAATGCTCTGTCTGACTTTTCCCGTCCACACACCACGTCATTTACTCTTCTCTGCGTGCTTGTGCGCTTATGAACTCTTTGTGTTCCCTCTGTTGACGCTTCAAAATCGCTCTATTGACACTGCAAAATCGCTCTGTTGACGCTGCAAAATTGCTTATCATCTCCCTCCCTCCCTCCCCCCCCCCTCTCTCTCTCTCTCTCTCTCTCTCTCCCCGTAGCTCTCTGCCTTTTGAAATTCGCTTCCATAGAATTGGGCACCATTGCCCGTTTGGCCATGCGAAGCAAAATAAAAATCAACAACAACAACAGACTGGTAAGACCATTGAACAAACCAGTCTAACGACAACTCGAAAACGAAAGGCAACTCGGGAGGCACAAGGGTATGTAAAAATACATCAAAAGGGGAAGATAAGCGAAGACAAACTGTCCCAAACCGAAAGTACGTCGTACGAAACCACTTGCTCATGTACCAAACGTGTCCATCATCGTTACATCAACATGGAGTTTAGTAAGGTATTGGCTTTCGGTTTGCAAACATGCATGCATACGGGAGAAACCAAATTAATTTTTTTTTTAAACCAACCGACCCTGATACCGATGAATGAAGTGACTAAAAAAATTAATTCGAGGTGTCCATATCAAAATTTAGCGTTACTGCACAGTGTAGGATAAAGTCACCCCAAATCTCCAAAAAAATGGGAGCTCACCAGAGCCATACATGATCGTTTTTGTATGAATGGGCTGCTGTACTCGTTCTGATGTGCTGTCATTGTGCAGAACACACTTGTCACGGAGGCGTGAAACTCTATTACCTGGCTAATTCCGGATTGTCACAGGGTCGCACTAGGATGCAGGCTCAGGATGCATGTCAGGAGAGGGCAACTTACGTGCCAGGACCGCAACTTCTGGGCTGCATGAAGGCGTTAATCTTATCATTATCTTCAAGTGAAGCGCTTAAGTGCAGAACGCATGGGAGCCTTTACGAAGTAGTCGTGTGCTTGCAAAGGGTGTACAGAAGACTTGCCTGGGTTGGATTCTCCGGTACATCCGCCGGCAGGTCCCTTGCCACTGATGGGCAATCATACAGTAATGACCAGCATCTTCCATATACCATCTGTACATCGGGCTGAGTGGAAGCCGCGATTGTTTGCATGGAGTTCCGCATTTAGTTCACGGAACTCAGTCCGCCACATCTGCATGTTTTCCTTTGTGCACTAATGTTAAGTCAATATGGTGCTTACTGTACATAAATTCTCTTTGCCAATTATACGTACAGCTGTTGTCGGTTGCTAATGTAGCTGATGTTGTATTGCAGTCTTACCTGATCATACCTGATCAACTCACATTGAACAGGCAATGAGATCGCTCACAGACCTACATTGTATGTATCTATTATTGCAATAATAATGAAGGAATAAAAGACCGAGGCGAAGTCGAGGTCTTTTATGAGGTCTATATTTCATTATGTGAAGAAGAGGTTGGTGCGACTTCGGCGATAGTAAGGGAAGAGTGTGTTGCTCCTTACATGGGAGCTCGCGGTTTTCCTGCCGACTTGAATTCTCACTTGACTGACTCACGACTGCCAACCAAAGCACACGAGAAGTCCATCGAACCTTCCAATTGGCAAACCTGCAAGAAAGCACCACTCCCTGCTCAATACACACCCAAAACACAGTGTATTGAGCAGGGAGTGGTGCTTTCTTGCAGGTTTGCCGAGTGGACGGTTCGATGGACTTCTCGTGTGCTCTGAATGGCAGTCGTGAGTCAGTCAAGTGAAAATTCAAGTCTGCAGGAAAACCGCTAGCTCTTATTAATAGCGTAATAACAAGAGTACATTACACGGCTGTTCACGTGCAGGCACTTATCAATATGGCGTCGTTCGGTGCGATTTATGTAACATTGTGCGAATAGTACAAATACGCGATGAGTTTGCGTTTTTGGAATAAACTCATGTCGATCCTCGCGTGGTTCCACGATTTGGGACGCGAAACCAAGAGAAAAGTTTTGAAAGCGCTCGAGCGAGATACTCGACTTTTCGACAATTTGAGAGAGAAAGAGGGTGGAAAGGCGTCCTGGCCTGCCCAGTTAGCTGTCTTTCCGCTTCAAACTTGCTCGAACTACTCCTGGCAGTCAGGAGATTGATCTCGCTGTGTGATTGCCAGCCTCTGCTTGGCGTGCTCGCGTGTGCCACATTCAAGTTAGACATTCCGTAATCGTTCAACGCACAATAGGGTAGATATCACAATTTCAAGCTCACTTGGCCGGCTGCTGTCTTCTTCTACAATATCCCACACGCCGACTTAGAAATATACAGCAGGAAGCAGCCTTCTACACTCAACAGCTACTAAAGGGCCACACCATTTGTCCTCCAAATCAAGAGAAAACCGGCTCCGGACTCGTCGCGCGTATTTAGAAGTTCACGCGCGTATTCTAATGGCACTTGGGGAAGACAACCAGAGGATAGTCCTCTACCTGGGAAAATATCGATCTAAGCTGGGAAAAATCGGGAAGGGCTTTTCGGAGCCGAGTTTGTCAGCGACGACACAAGGAGTATTCCAGAACGAAGCCAAAGTCGCATGACACAGAACAAATGTTTCTTGAAGGAAAGGCAGTCATGTGAGGTACGAGCGGAAAGCTTTATTTTATTATTATTTATTACCACATCTCAAGACTCGGCGGAAACACCGGCCAATGTTACGATAGTGGGTGATTGCCAACCACGGCGATAAATACAAATAAGGGGAGGGAAAAAGAAAGAGTAGCAAAACGAACAGCAACAACAACTCCGTAAAGAAAGATAATGTCAAATAAAAACAGTGAAAAACACAGAGACGCAAAGGACATGTGGATAATGAGCTATGTATGTCGTAGTAAATAAGGGGCGGCACGGATCTTAAACAGGCGGAGTGAGGTCAGGTCCTTAACTTCTCTGGGTAGAGTGAGCCAAACAGAATAAGCAATAAAGAGAGGGGAGCGCAAAAGAGTGGATGAGTTACACTTAGGGAGTAAGAGCGAGTTTCTAGTTCTTAGAGAAGAGAACCAATTAAAACACATGAGATGAGGTGGGCACAACTCAAGCTTAATAGAATGGACAAGAGAAGCCAGGTGTGCACTGCGTCCATGTGATAGCGGGGTTGTGGGAGCGATTTTATAAAGGGCGGATGATGAGAGCATGCTGGGTTGACGGAGGAGAATTTTAAAGATTTTCTTGTGATGTATTTCAAGCTTTGCAGCAGCGGAAGAGGATAACCCAACCCAAGACGTATCTGCAAAATCAAATATTGGGCGAAGGTAGTCTCCAAAATCCAGGGGAAACCATGGCCTACTCGTGTTCTGACGATTTGAAAATTCAAATTTTCTTGCCCTTGAAGCCCAATCGAGACTTTCGGCGGCCATATTGTTAAGGGGCGTGAAATCGCACAAAAAAACGTGATTATAGCAATGAAACTGCTTTATGGCAGTTTTCTAAAAAACGTTATTGTGTTCTAGTCCATGGACCCCGTCTAAAACGTAAGAAATTAACTAAATGTGATAGCCGAAAAATAAAATTTCACCCAAAACCTCACAATAATCACAACACTTCGTCCTTTGTATTTTTTTTTTTTTTTTGAAGTGCAAGCCTCTTTTACGGGCAAAATTAACACAATGTATTAAAATGCAATACAACATACACTGGAGAAGAAATCAGGAAAATAAAAGATGAGCTCAAAAATGGAACGAAAAATAGCAAATAGAATCAAAACTCACGATGGAATCAAACTCACGATGGAATCAAACTCATGATGGAAACTACAACCCAATGAGTTGGAAAACCAACCACAGAATTAGATGTTGGGAATAGAGTCAGACACAACAACAACCGAAATCAGTACACCAAAAATCTGCCCTACAAAAAGCAAAGGAACAAGAAAAACAAGAAAGACGAAGTACAAAGAATCCCCAAAAAAGAGGGGAGAACGGGATGAAAGAGGACCGGAGAGCGGCAAACCCCAGGAGGACTTAGCGTCACGTAGTGGCGGGAATGCGGGCCTCCACAGAAACAGCATCCACATCCGCCGCCAGACCAGGTGCACGGAATGCACGGCGACTCCCACGAACCATCAGGACGGAGTCGCGGACAAGGCTGAAAGCCAGGTCCGTCCGCAGCTTTCCCATCACGAGGGGATAAGGCTGCGAGAGCTTGGTGGAGAGCTTCGTTCCAAGCAGCTTCAGGAACCGGGTGGCCTCCTTCGCCAGGGCACCAGCAGAAGACAGGACGATCGGGGTGAACGACGCGTGCTCAACTTCCCGGATCCGGGCACCGTATGCCGACTGCTTCTGACGCTCGTGCCATTGGAACACCTCAGCCAGCGGGCGAGATCGGTACGACTGTGCGTTGGGATAGAACACCCTTACATCAAAAAATGCATCAGTCTGTACCGACCAAAACCCCCTGGCCTTGATGTCCGGTCTGGCGTCGTCCGCAGTGAGCAGGGCAGGACCATGGTCGAACGTGCGGACCGTCGGTAGAGGTTGCAGCGGTGGCTCCAGCTGCACATCCTCAGACACTTGAGAGAGAAGTTGGCCCAGGTAGTTGCGGACATGGTTGTGCCGGTGGATGGGATAGCCGCCCAACTTGCAGATCATTGCGTGGTCGATGGTGAACGGCCGGCCGCATGGACACTCGGTAGGTGAACCGTGGATGGTGAGGCCATACCGAATGCATAGGGCATCAACGAAGGACCGCCGGTCGAGGGAGTATCCATGCTCGCGAACAGGAAGACAGGTCAGCCATCCACCTGTTCCCTTGGCCTGGAGGTGCTCCAGAAGCATTGGTGGTAGGGCCTCTGGACCAGCTGTCTGCAGGACGGTCTTGGTTGTCATTCCTTTGTATAATTATTATTAAAATTTCACAACACTTGTCTTGAAATGCTGCTTTCAACACTAGACATACATGCATGGGAAAGAGTATCACGAGGGGAAAAGGTCTTCTAGCTTTTCATTCTGTGTGTGATTATTGTGAGGTTTTGTGTGAAATTTTAATTTTCGGCTATCACATTTCGTTAATTTCTTACTTTTTAGACGGGGTCCATGGACTAGAACACAATAACTTTTTTTAGAAAACTGCCATAAAGCAGTTTTTATTGCTATAATTTTTTTGGTTTTTTTATGTCACAAATCATGCAATGGAATGCCCTAAATGGCACTTGCATGATCATGTTCTTCTGAGCTGAGGGGAAAAAATGTGGGTAGTGGTTTCCCATCTGTACGTCTACCCGAACTACTCGCGGCTCTACAACTCATAACATGAGTATCAATCGCTATAGATCTATGTCTGGCTTTCTGTCCTTTTCAAGTAAATCGGCTCTTGTTTGGAATTATTTACCAGACGACCTGAAGTCCTGCACTACTATCGCAGATTTCCGCGTCAGATTGGCTATTTGGCTAAAAGACAGCTTAAGGGGGCACATCACCCAAAAATTTCATATGGCATTCAATTGACCGTAACTTTGGTGTTTCTCAGTGGATTTGAGTGAAATTTTGACCACACACTCCTGCCGCTATGCTGGCCCTCAGGACAAGATTTACAAGTTCTTGCGCCTCGCTGACAGGCTTTCCAGGCCGGAAAAACTCAAATTCCCGGCATAGTGTTACGGTGTGCGAGCCACTCAGGAGCCAAACAAATGTATTTACATTTTTTCACATTTTCGTGCCCATTCTGTCCGTGCGCGGGACCCAAACCTAAAACAAGTCCAGAAGCAGCCATGGGTGGTGGGGTAGGGCCCCTCAACGTGGCCCTGGAATCTGTCACAACGGAACGAGTGGGCGTTCTTTCACGGACTCCCACAGACCCAAGTCAATTTTTGAATTTTTTTAGGTTTAGCACGTGCTACGAGGTCGTACCTTTGATACAACATCCAGTGCTGGGACCTCCACAGCGCTGCACACCAAATCCAGGATGCCCTCAGAAACCGGCAAAGACTGCCACTCACGTTTCACTACTGCCTAGTACTGAATCCTACCTGACTTCTTGACACGACTCAAACTTGCCAAAGTCACTAAATCAACGTCAACTACAATAATCAAGCCACATATCTGCAACGTCACGAGGGTGCTGGCAAAAGTCCTGCTGCTGTCCGTGCAGCCCAATACGTGGTTTTTTAACGTGATTTTTTGGACTTTTTTGGACTTGGGGCAAAATTCTGCACACTTTCGCGTGTTTCCATAATACGACAAGTTGCGCACGGTCTGCTCACATTCAAATACAGTGCTGCCAACAAATGACAGCATGCAACAAAAAAATCTTTCCTTGCAAGGGCACATTTTCGGCCATAACTCTTGAACGGCTGGTCAGATAGGGACACAGTTTTCAGAGAATTTGCAGCCATTCATGCTCTTTCAACTGACGTAGCACTCAATATGAATATTTACAAATTCGATTTTTCAGCGAATTTTTGGGTGATGTGCCCCCTTAA